GTCTGCAGAGAATTTGACTTTGTGGCCAGGTTTTCAGAGTCAGAGGGCAAAGCTAATGTTTTCTACTGATTCAGGTCATGAGATGTCATCCAGAAACGGAGGGAGAGCAGCTTTCGTCAAGAAAAAGCCAGAATAAACTAATGATTATGGAAAAAGCTGTTCCGTGAGGGTAAAAGTGGCAAGGTTTAGAAAGCTGGAGAGGCGAAAAGCCACAAGCCCCATCATCTGGTGGGGGCTGTGGATGGTGGGATGGGCACTGGGTATTCAGCCTGGCGTTGAACTCTCTGTCCTGTGAATTTGTTTTCCCCCTCAAAGATGAATTTGTCAGATGGACTTTCAAAGGGTTTGAGGATCCCAAAGGTCCCAGAAAGCATGCTGCCTTTCCTTCTTTGTCTCAAAGCCCCTCTTGCAGTGTCTTCGGGCTGAGTTTCCTGGCCATGGGACAGGGCAGGTTCGGAGGCTGGAATCAGAAACATTCCTGACTCCCACACACCCCTCCTTCACTCCTCTGTCCATGTCTGAACTCGAGGGGGCCACAGTCCAGGCTGGCATCCTTGGTCTTTCCTGACACCCTCTGTGCTATTCTAACACATGATACCACTGTTATATAAGTAACATAAGTCAAGCCAGGAACCTGCGGCTGATGGAAGAGGTAAATTTTCTGTCTTGATTTCTTCTTTTTTTGGGGGGGCAAAAACTTGTTGCTCCCATCCCTGAAGGGGCAGAAGTCAAGTCCACTTGGTGTGGAAGAGGAGAGGGCCATCTGCTTGACCATACTAGAATGGCGTTCCCCCCCTCCCCCCGCCCAGTCGGCACTGTTTCGGAAAGTGCTGAGGGTTACAGAAAGACCTCCGTGGGAAGATGGGAGGTGGGGCACCCCAGGCTTTCCCAGGAGAAATCCCAGCTCTCATGTGGGCTCCCACAGATGTCAGCCAGGGCCAGGTCCCTTTGGTGACCCAGCCTGTAGATTTGACCAGGCCTCCCTGGATCACACAGAGCACAGAGCCCTGTCTGAGTTAGGGGTGAGTCTCAACAGAGGGAGTGCCTTTTGTCCAGTAGAAGTTACAGGTCTTATTAAGCAGATTGCGGAACTGGTGTCACTTGTGGGATCATCTTTCTACCAGCTGCCCAGGCTGGAGAATCTGGGGTTACTTACAGCAGGGAAGGTGGTGGGACAGAGTCGCAGAGTTCTAGCCCAATCAGTAGGCTCCCGGAGAGTGGTAAGACCTCTTGGTAGCAGAACTGGGAGGAGGTGGGAGTTCAAAAAAATTGTCTTTATTGAGATATAATTTCATACCATACAATTCACCTAAACTGTATGATTTATTGATTTTTAGAATATTCATAAGGGTTGTGCAACCATGGAGGGGATGGGACTTTGAGTGTCCTCTGACGTTTTCTCCAACATCCTTTGCCAAGAGTTGTGAATATTCACACCTGTCTATTCACTGAGATATTTGTCTCAGGATGGAGATAGTGTAGGGGGCTGGTGTTTGTGTATATATATGTGTGTGTGTGCATGTATGTAAGTAATGAACACATACAAATATTTTAAAATACTTGTTTTCTTTTTTGCATGTGACACAATGTTTGTGATATATAATACTTGGTAAGACCAGAAAAAAGAATTAAAACTACTAGGCAGTTGAATATGTAACTTTAAGAACTTTAAGATGGAGATTAATGAGGTGTCAGAACACCAACATAGACAATGAGATGTTTTTTGAGCATAATACTGATTTTGTCACCATTTCACGCACATCATTTCATCTGGTTCTGTGACCACCCTGTGGGTAAACATGGGTACAATACTGTGGTCTCATCTTGCTGCTGCTGCTGCTGCTGCTAAGTCGCTTCAGTCGTGTCCGACTCTGTGTGACCCCATAGACGGCAGCCCACCAGGCTTCTCTGTCCCTGGGATTCTACAGGTAAGAATACTGGAGTGGGCTGCCATTTACAGACAAATAAACCCTGGGGGTGAAGGGATTGTCCACATGAGAAGTGGGTGGGGAACTGAACCCCAGTCTTTAGACTCAAAGTCTGTTTCTACTGCACTAAGAGTAGCAAATTTTGCATTTCACCTTCATTTATACATTTTACATAAAATATTTTATATCATATATATAGATTATGTATCTTAGGTCTCACCAATCATTTTATCGAAAAGTCTTGATATTATTCTGATAGAAATGGAAAGTCCACTTTTCTGGAGAATGGCATTCCTATGTTCATATATGATTTCCAAGAAAGCTTTTGGACATACATTTTTTTCAAGAATGTTACTGAAAATACATTGAAGATGATATCTTAGTTGTTATCTTTTTAAAAAATTTTTTTATGTGGGCCATTTTTAAAGCCTTTGTTGAATGTTGCAATATTGCTCCTGCTTTATGTTTTGGTTTTATGGCCATGAGGCATGTGGGACCTTATTCCCTGACCAGGATGGAACCCACATCCCCTGCACTTAAGCACTGGAGCACCAGGGAAGTCCCCTGTCATTCTGAAAGCGGAGAGTCCGCTTGGACTTTGGTGTCACTGAGGATGCACCGCAACCTTCGGGGGTTCAAATGACTCAGTGGTGTTGTGTGGCAGGAAGGTGGTGAGGGAAAGCATAGAGTGTGGTGGGCACGGAATGCAGTGCCAGGTCCCCATGGAGGGAGGACTTGTTACCTGGGCATGGGCGTGTTGTCAGCAGCCAGCCTGCAGCACTCGGCCCTTTAGGGAACTGCCTTGCCTGGCGTCATGCCCTTCTGGGGTAGCCCGATTCCAATGACGGATCAAGGCAGAGTGTAAAAGCAGAGCTATTTTGGCCAGTTCAGGACCCCTCTGAGGGGCTGTTTGCTCCAGGATTCCCTGTAGAGCTGGCCGAGGCTGCGAGACTTGCATTGCCACCTGACCCCTCGCTGTGCCCTATTCTGCTTCCTTCCTCTCCTTCCAGAGGCCAGGGTCCCAGACAACGTTCCCTGTTTAACATCCTGAACTCTACACTCTTCTCAGAGTCCACATCTTGGAGAGCTCAAACCGCAACTGCTGGCTTTCAGTATACTTTCTTTTGGAGCAGGGGTTGGTAAACTCTGTAAAGGGCCAGATAATGAATGTTTTAGTCTTTGTAGTCCAACTCTGCTTTGTAGCGTGAAAACAACCATAGATAATATGTGGATGAATGAGCATGGCTGTGTTCCAATAAAACTTTATTTATACAAACAGGCACTTGGCTGGATTGGGTCTGTGTGTGTAGTTTGCCAGAGAATTAGTGATTACTGAGAATTACTGATTAATTTGAGATAACTGGGGGATTCTGGAGAATTCCTGATGAATTTCTTCATGCCCAGTGTTTTGTAAGTCATATGCATGATTGCTCAGTCATGTCCGACCCTTTGCGACCCCATGGACTGTAGCTGATCAGGCTTCTCTGTTCATGGGGTTGCTCCAGGCAAGAATACTGGAGGGGGTATTCATTTCTCCAGGGGATCTTCCCAACCCAGGGATTGAATCCGTGTCTTCTGCTTTGCAGGCAAATTCTTTACCACTGAGCCACCTGGGAAGGCCAAGTCATACAGCTATTCATTATTGTTCATGCTGAGTGCTGAACACTGGGTAAAAGCCCCTTCTGACAGCTCACAAATACAGTTTCAACCTAACACAGACTTATGATCTAATTCAAGAAGGGACTTGAAGAAGCTGTCCTCTGCCCTGGGCAGAGTTTACCCTGGTTCATTGGCAGCTCTGGTGTCCCCTTCCTGGAAGCTGTGGAGATGGAGTGAGAGGACTTCCCCCGGGGAAATGGAGGAAGGGAGGGGCCGGGCCTCTGTGGGGACCTCTGCATGTGTTATTTCACTTAGTCCTGACCACCACTGTCGTCCCTGCTTCGCAAGGGAAGAGACGGTCTCAGAGAAGGTGAGGAATGTGGCTTGCAGCGCTTGTCAACAGGAGCATCGATTTCAAACGCTGTGCAGGCTCCAAAGCCATGCCCCTGCCACTCCCCCTGCTGACCTGTCACCTCGGCCTGGGATGGCAGCTGGTTTCTCTTTAAACCCCAGTTGCTTCTGCCCGAGAGGGCTTGGCACAAGGAGTTGGATCCTGGACTGGCGCTTGTGGCTCTGTTCCTGGGGCTGATTGGAGGCTGAGTTTCTGCATCCTCGCCACTGGCCAGCTCTGGGCCGTGGCATCTGATAAGTGGAGGCTTCAGCCCCTGGGGGCTGATGGGGGCGGGTGCTGGCCGTGATGGTCACTTTCTGTCCCTCAGGTGTGAGTGTGCGTGGGCGCCCACAAAGGACCCTCCGCCTTTCTTCTGTCAGGCAGCTGTCATCACCCCTGTTGTTCACAGCCTGTTTCAGGAGGCTGGCCAAATCCTTGGGAAGGTGAGAGGGAGGTTGGGAGCCTGAGGGCTGGAGGACTCATGTTACCATTGTGCCCTCTTATCTGGGCTGATGGAGACAGCACTGCTCCGGCCCGTGGAGACCAGGCGGTAGCCCGGGCTCCACTGAGCCTCAGCAGGTGGCCCTGGGTGAGCCCTAGAGGAACCACTCATCTCCCACAGGAGAAGGGTCAGGTTCAGGTGGTCTGTGCACTGTGAGGACGGCGTGAGTGACAGGTGATAGAAAGCAGCTGGAGAAGGGGCAGGCCAAGTCCAGCGGTTCTCACCTGCTGGCACACATCAGCACCACCCGTTCAGGAAGGCCTGTTGGAGCAAGAGTGTCTAACTCAGTAGATCTGGGGTGGGGCCTGGGAGTGCACCTTTCCCACAAGCGTCTCACTCTTCCTTCAGGGCCCTTTTCAAGCTTCTTTTTTTGTTGTGTGTGGGCTTAGTTGCTCAGTCGTGTCCAACTCTTTGTGACCCTGTGGACTGTAGCCCGCCAGGCTCCTCTGTCCATGGGGATTCTCTAGGCAAGAAGACTGAAGTGGGTTGTCATGCCCTCCTCCAGGGGATTTTCCCAACCCAGGGATTGAACTCAGGCCTCTCGCATTGCAGGCAGATCCTTTACGAGCTGAGCCACTCCTTAAGTACTCTGGTTCCATTTGATCTCTCTCCTGAACTTTTGAGCTGGGATGTCCTGCAGTTTGCACTCCTGTGTGATGTCACCATGGGAAGCACAGTGGCGGCTGCCTGCCTGCTCTGCTGGGCAGGATGCTGGAGCCTCATGTCGGCTGTGGGCAGAGAGGCGTGGACGGGTGGCATGCACACAGGTGTCTGTCATCCCCGACTTGCTCTGATGTACTTTCTGTGTACGGGGGTTGTTACAGTTGAATGATGAACTTCTGTTGACAGCTGCAGTGTGTTTTACCACTGCATCTCCTCTGATACTTGGCCTTGAGCACATTGCTCTCTTCACAGGACTGAGTTTGGTTCATTTTGACTTCTTGGGACAATCACAGTGCTGATTGCCAGGTAATGACAGCGGCAGTGGCAGCAGATATTCTTTTTTAAAAAATCTTTATTTGGCCGTGCCAGGTCTTAGTTGTGGCATGCAGGATCTAGTTCCCTGACCAGGGATTGAACCCAGCCCCCTACATTGGGGATGCTGAGTTTTAACCACTGGACCACCAGGGAAGTCCCCACAAATATTCTTTGCTTAGTCAAATAATAATTTTCAAATACTTGAAGAATATTTCCTCCTGGAGTTTGCTCAAAATCATATTCAATGAGTTGGTGCTGCCATCCAACCATCTCATCCGCTGGCATTCCCTTCTCCCCCTGCCGTCAACCTTTCCCAGAATCAAGATCTTTTCCAATGAGTCACCTCTTTGCATCAGGTGGACAAAATATTGGAGCTTCACCTTTAGCATCTGTCCTTGAATATTCAGTGTTGATTTCCTTTAGGTTCCTAGAGTTTCTCTATTATGGACTAAATTGCCCCCCTCCCCACTCATATGTTGAAGCATGAACCCCCAATGTGATGATATTTGGGGATGGGGACCTTTGGGAGGTAAAGTTTAGATGAGGTGATGAGGGTGAGTGGGGCCCTGGTGATGAGATTACTGCCCTTAAAAGAAGAGTCCATAGAGCTCCCCCTTTCTTTCTGCCTGGTGAGGACATGATGAGAAGGTGGCCATCTGCAAGGCTGGAGGAGACCTCACTGGGAACCAACTTGCCCAGCACTTTCATCTTGGACATCCCAGCCTCTAGGACTGTAAAAAATAAATTCCTATTACTGTGGCCACTCCATCTGTGGTATTTTGTTATGGAACTCTGAGCTGACTAAGACACTCTCCTCAGCCAGGCTCACCCTGGCAGCTAGGGTGGAGTCAGTTTCACCCTGGACTGAAAGTGGAGAGGGAATTTCCTCAGAGGAAATTCTGGGTAAAGTTTCTAGAAGGGTGATTGGAAGCAGACAGCAAAGCAAAGGTCCATGGTAAGACCTTTCTTTGGACAGAAAGAATGGTTTCCTGGCTCAGAGTGTTCAGGGGACCAGGGCAGCCTTTCTGGGCATGGGATTGGATCACTCCTTCTGTGGATAAAGCGGGAAGAGAGGAGGAGAAAGGATGGAAAGTTAGGGGCCAGCTATGTCCAAGTAGCTTCATGATCTGGGGCCTTTCCTTCCCCTTGGGACACTTGGCAAGATGTTTCTGACACAAAAGACTGCTGAGAATTTTGTTCCCCAAGTCCCAGGTTTCAACATTTAGTTGCTTGAGTGAGAAGCTTGTGCCTCAGAATGGGAGCTCTAAGGAGTACCTTTCCTGGGGAGTACCTTGCTGGGATTTGGTACTGAGTTCTGGACTGGCTACCTGTCACATTACTCCTTAAGACCTGCTGCCCACCCTTAGGCCAAAGAGCAGCCCCTTGCACTTGGCGGATGAGGAGTTATGAAGTGTCCAGGAAAATGAAGTGCAGACGGGAGGGTCACAGACCGGTATCTCCATTAGAAAATTCTGAAAGAAAAGGAACCGGGGTGAGTAGTGGGCAAGTATGGATGCGGCATTTTGTTTTACCTTTTAAGGAGGTGAAAGGGAGAGAAACTCTGAGTAGAACCAGATGTGGTTTATTTGTTCCAGACCAATGGCCAGCTCCTTGGGGTCAGCCAGGGCCATGGGTGCAGGAGGGAACGCCAGGCTTCCTGGCCAGCAGCAATGCCAAAATTCTCCCTGTCCTCAGAGCTTGACACGATGCTGACCTGATGTCAGCCATGCACTCTGGGGTTTATATGCAGGGACGTGGTGCTGGGAAGAGCCAGCCATGAGCATGTAGAATATGCAATAAGGTGAGATTCTCCCATGTATGCTGGGCGCTGAGCCCCATGTGGGCACACACATCCTCGTTGGATGCCCTCAACTGCTCTCCATGGTGGTCACCTTTCCCCATTTACAGAAAAGGATGCTGATGCTGAGCCCATGGTTGGATAGATAGTAGGTGGCATTGCCACTCTCTAGCCCAGAACTTTCTGACATCCATGGCCCCATTAGCTTCCTTCATGTGTGAGGTACAGGTTTAGCAGGCACTGGTCAGCCCTGTTCACATGTGTAACTCTCCTCTTAGTTATTCTCCAGGGCTGAGGTGTGTCTTGCTGGCAATCACACCCTCAGTGGCTGTTGGTGAGAATTGATAAAACACAGATAACATTTATTTTTCTTAATAACCCTCTGCACGCTGAGCTGTGTGCCTGCATGCTCAGTCAGGTCTGACTCTTCGTGACCCTCAGACTGTATAGCCAGCCAGGCTCCTCTGTCCATGAAATTCTCCAGGCAAGAATTACTGGAGTGGGTTGCCGTGCCCTTCTCCAGAGGATCTTTTTGACTCAGGGATCGAACCTACATCTCTTGCCTCTCCTGCATTGGCAGGAGGATTCTTTACCACTGTGCCACCTGGGAAGCCCCTACAATCCTCTGAGTAGGCATTTAAAAAATCTTACTGCAGAATTGAGAGAGTTGAACCTCGGGGTCCAGAGACGCTTCCTAAGCTTGCATAAATTGTTATTCAGGCTCAGGTCTGAGAGCTGGTAATCTATTTGGGGTACCTTCCCCCTGACCAGCCCTGGGGATACTCTGCTCATGTCCCCACTGGGTGGAGAGTGGGCTGTATGTGGATGGGGATGGGATGGTGGGATTTACATGCAGAGTCGAAAGAGGAGCCAAGAGGTAGACCAGTAAGTTGGATGCAGGTGATACCTCGTTTTCAATTAGAATATCTGCTTTATTTATTGCAATTTCTTTCTTAACATTTTCTCTTTTTCCCCAAGTGGAAGATTTCCTCCCCTCACAAACAGATTTTTGTAAATAGAAAATGTTATTCAGAGGGTTCTTTTTTAAAAATTAACATCTAATTTATTAATGTTACTTAGCTACAATATGGGCTTCCCTGGTAGCTCAGTTGGTAAAGAATTTGCCTGCAATGCAGAAGACCCTGGTTCGATTCCTGGGTTGAGATGATCCCCTGGAGAAGGGATAGGTTACTCACTCCACTATACTTCGGCTTCCCTTGTGGCTCAGCTGGTAAAGAATCCACCTGCAGTGCAGGAAGACCCAGGTTCAATCCCTGGATCTCCTGGGTCAGGAAGATCCCCTGGAGGAGGGCATGGCAACCCACTCCAGTATTCTTGCCTGGAGAGTCCCCATGGACAGAGGAACCTGGTGGGCTATAATCCATGGGGTCTCAAAGAGTTGGACACGACAATGACTAAGCATAGCACAGCTACTATATCATTTATAAAGTCATATACTTAGTTTTATCTTAAAGTTCAATTTATAAATCTTATATTTATAAAGTTATCAAATACTGTCAGTTATTCTTAAGGAGGTATTTGATTAATATTTAGGCCCAGTTGTAGACATAAATGCCTCTAAGCTTTTAAAGTTGCATGTATACATTGGATATTTTAAATTCATTTTGAAGTCCTTCAGTATCTTAACAAAATAAACTTTATAAACTTCTAAGTAATTCTTATAAATGTAATAAAACAAACTTACATATATGGGGATCCTTAAGTACTCTAACTGTTCCAAAACTGTATATAAACTTAGAAAAGTTAAACTTAAATATATGTCTAAATCAATTAACCATACATGGAAAACTGGAACTTTCAGTGTAGATATACTTTATCATTGTTCAAGCAAATTCTCTTGAATATTGCAAATACTTATTCTACCAAATAGGCACAGATATTTTCTTAATGCATGAATAGAAATGTTCTAAGCTTGCTTCTCTTAAATACTTCTATTCTTAATTCTTAATCTTCCCAGAGTTAAAAGATGCTTTGTGTGTATGTGTGTGTGTGAGTATCTATTTGTGTGTATTAGTTTCTCAGGTGTGTCTGACTCTTTGCGACCCTGTAGACGGTAGCCCACCAGGCTTCTCTGTCCATAGAGTTCTCCAGACAAGAACACTGGAGTGGTTAGTCATTCCCTCTCCAGAGGATCTTCCCAGGAATTGAACCCAGGTTTCTCACATTGCAAGCAGATTCTTTACCATCTGAGCTAGCAGCGAAGCCCTCAAAGATGCTTACCTACTAAGGAAATAATAATGCCACTCCAAACAATTATGTGGGAGGCCCAGATTTGATCCCTGGGTTGGGAAGATCACCTGAAGAAGGGAATGGCTACCTACTCCAGTATTCTTGCTGGAGAATTCTATGGATAGAGGAGCCTGGTGGGCTACAGACCATGGGGTCACAAGGAGTCAGACACAACTGAACGACTAACCCATTCTTTGGAGATTTTAGCTAGAATTTTAGCCTGGATTCTTACCAGCCCCATCTGTAGCCCACACCAGGAACTTTATACTACTACAAGCTATTGGTCTTATAAATAGGCTAGTACAGATTAGTATGGCCATATGACTACTTACCACTGGCACCTACCCTGTTTGTTGGGACCTGCCATGTCCAGGGTATTAAGAATTTGCATTCATTTTGCTCCACTAAAGTCTCATCTAGTTGTGGAAACCTGCAACCAACTCAGACTGCTACACGACTTGATTTCATTTTCCTTTGTCTAGGATATATTAATTTCTTTCCCATTTAGGGCCAGTGACCTTTGACACTGATGGAATTCTATCTTCTTTGCATATTCTTCCTGACCAGTGGGACCACACAACTCACACAGTTATTAAATGATATCCGATTACATCTTGCAAGTCTCACAGTTTCTAGGGCCAAATGCCTGACAGCTTCACAATGGTTTCTATTGTTTAAAAAGATGTTTAAAAACATAACACTGGTGGAATCTTCAAGGTTTAGGAGAAAGAACAAATATTTTGGGAGCACCTGCTATGAGCCAAGTACTTTATGTATATTATTTCATTTTTGTCCTCCAACACCCCTTTCAAGTGTTTATTTTTAATCCCCATATTCAAATGAAGAAGCTGAGGTTCATGGAAGGTTAAGTTCCT